CATTTAAATGATCATTATGCTACCATTTCTGCATGAACATGTTATGAAATCAATTTGTGTTATACATTTTCATTTTCATTTCGCAACAAGCGTTCAAATTTGCATGCAATTTACATATTAAGACTACTGTTGGAAATGGCAAATGTAAATTATATAATTTAATTTTCATTTTACTTTTGCACCAAACTTTGCACGTATGGGTAATGGAAAATGTAAATTTAAATACAGAAATACATTGCCATTTTGAATATTGCATTGCCATTTTGCATATTGCATTTTAAATTGAATTTCGCTACCTATATGCTTCCATAGTAAACAAGCTTCTCTCTAGTGTTTTTATAGCTAACTAACCAACTCTGAACACTGGATAACTTTCCTGAGGTAAATGCAATGTTAAATGACATTATTGTTCACAAGCCGTTTCATTTGATGTCTTTCGATTGAAACGCTGACTGAGCGATTATATGAGACATTATACATTTTGGTAAGTTGTACTGTATCTTTCATACCTACTGATGTTCATTAATGTATATTTCATGCTATAACTTGTATTTAAGTGGAATAGACTTGCGCTCCAGCTGCTACACCGATCGGTCACGCCACATTCAAGAGCATCAAAACGGCATTAATTGTTTGAATTTTGTGATAAATTATACAGGATTTGAAAGATGAGGCTTTGTTTCTTATCAGAAGCTCTGTGTGATTATGTGACGGGAGGCGCATTGCAAATAATGTGAAGGAAAAACCGTGGACCTGGCAACCCTGGATTGAACTCCGGGTGGTTCATAGGGTCAATTAGAACCTGCTTTAATGGCTCTGCGTTATTATTGCTTTAACCTGGACAGCCCTAAATTGCTCATAAAAAAATAAAATTTTCTTCACAAGTTGCTGTCTTAAACTCTTTTTTGCCGCCTTTTGATTGACAGGAAATAGTCTGCCCTGATCATCAGCTGTTTTTAAACAATTGGCAGATGGCTGATAGTGCAGAAAATTGCTTTTATCAGCCGATACCGATTATTGGCCGATACATCGGTGTATCTCTAAACTAAAGTAATATAAAGGAATGTAAAGCAAGTAAAAACAGTGTTAAAAATAACACAAGTAATGCAAGTATATAAAGGAAAGTAGTATAAGGAATGTAAAGCAAGTTACAAACATGCTAAAAGTGACAAGTAATGCAATTATGTAAAGCAAAGAAAGTAACGAAAGTAATATAAGGAAAGTAATGCAAGTAATAAAAGTGCTGAGAGTAACGCAATTATGTAAATTAAGTAAAGTTCCAAAAAATAATATAACAAAAGTAGCAAAAGTACAAAAATAAACTTAAGTAACCCGAGAAAGGAAAGTAGTGAAAGTGAGACAGGTAATGTAAGTGAGGTAAATGACAAAAAACATGTACAAATAGTAAAACAAGTAAGGAAAGCAAAAGAAGTACAAAAACTACTTTCATGAAGACAAAACAATGATTTGATAACCAGTGAGAGTGGAGTTAGCAGAGTTATCTCTCAAAGGTTATTGTGCAGATTAATGTGTGGATATATTTGCATTGTAAAGATAGTGTGAAAGAGAGCATAAATCAAATGAATTTATGACATGCACAGTGCATGTGGAGAAACATACTATGTTTATGTAGAAAACTGGTGTCTGAGTCACCTTTGTGTCCCGTCCCTGACGGTGAGACAGGATGCCCTCGGAGTGCCTTCCTGTCCACACCCTCAGGGGAAATTTCCTCTCGATTGTGACCATGACAACAGTTACGAGAGGTCAAAAGCTCAAAAACACTTTTAAAAAGTTTTATGAGGCCCACCATCATTGTTTCCTCATGCTGAGATCACAGTAGAGTCGGAGAGAGTAAAGACATTCTGACTAATAACTAGTACGGCACATACAAGAAGGTTCTGGACAAAATCTGAATGTCAAAAGGTCACGTGTCTGTTTTCATTCGTCAAGACACTTGCCTGTGACTCCTGGTCAAAATTGAAAGGACAATATCAAATGATCTCCATTTCATTTTAATACACATGACTACACTATTAAGTCCATCTGGTAAACATCTGATCCACCACATTACATAGAGCTGATTCAAGAAACAAAGAGTTTCCGGTTGCATTCGAATCCATTCAAAATAATCTAATACAATTCACATCTTAAGCGTGTCCTGATGTTTTTAGGTTGGGTTTACTTTTTGTACATTTCCTTAATAGAAAGCACTTCCTTCAGGAAGGAAAATACATACAAGACGAATCTTAATATGAAGCATTCCGTTGGGATGATAACGGATGCAGATGCACTGAGCATTTCAGGACTAACTGTGAAATGAAAACATTTTGTAATATTCTTAAAACTGTAGAATATGACAGTTTTGGAGGGGAAATATGCAATTTACGTAGATATTTTTCAAAAATGACATTTTAACCAAAAATTCTTATTTTGCATTAGACCTTATTTATTATTTTATACATAAACTATGCATAAAATTTGTTTTGTTTTGTAAAATGAATTCAGTGTAATATATTCACATAATAATACTCGTTCATTTCTTTTATATGAAACGCTATCCTCAAACGATGGCGTCACCTGTACAGGTAAAGGTGACGTAGGCACAAATAAGCCACGCCTCCTCAAAACAATAGTTATCAAGATCACGAAAAAATGCCCCATTAATGGTTAGGGGCAAAATAATGATTGATAACTATCCGTGCTGCACCCAAAACGCACTACTGATACGAGTAAAATTAAATACAGGAGTGTACGTTTTAATATGTCTACTTCGTGCCTTTAACTAGAGATGAAAACAGTCTCCTCAGGTAAAATAAGTCCAGTGCGAGACACAAAAGTAACTTTCGATCATCAACACAACATGCTAGGATTAAAATGACCTTTAAAACTTCAAGCCACGCTCTGTTCATTCAAAGAACCGAGGACAGACTTCAGTAAAGAATCAAATGCCTTTAGATTGGGATAAAAGCGGGATGCCACGACATGAGAGCAACTTACCGAGCGACCGGAGCGTCGCTTCTTCGCCCCGCGCGTGAACATGTCGGCGCTGTAGTGTCTCGTGCGCGGATTCACGCGAATGCTCTCATGTGTCCGCCGAAGTTTACTTCAATCCGACGTAACTTCGTTTCGATGTTCCCCGCGGTCTGGCTTCTGGCCTATAGACCTCCGTGCTGAGAAGAGCGCCCAACCAGACGGGCTACACCTACAGGACAAGTGTTTAACTGTAGAGGATCAGCAGCACCCCCTGCTCACTCACCACTACTGTAGGCTACCCTATGCTCTCAGCACAAAAACAAGACAAATGCAATCTGTTTATGAACACACTCCCCCTGAAAATTCATTTTTTGAATGGATTTAGGTGTTTAAAAATATGTGTATTGTGTGTACCGTGTCAACTCTGTATTGTGGTATACTGATCTATCTATCTATCTATCTATCTATCCATCCATCCA